TGGGGGTCCAATCTTATCCCCCACACTTGGACCCAGAGGGCAGTAGAATTGTCTGGAAAAAATCTAAATAAGATCTCTGCCAGAGGCCTTAAAGGCAAAATCCCTAAGCGGCTTTAAAAACTCACAAGGGAGGTGTCCTTTCCTCCACACCCTGCCCCCCCACCAAACCACTGGTTCCCCATTTAAACTTCTCCAACAGAGGCTTATCTCAGGCACCTCCCACTGTGTGCCTTCCCCACCCCTCCTCCCACTCACTTCCCGCCCCATGCCCAAGCAGGAGGGGCAGAGGGGCAAGACCTCGGCCTCCCTCCCCATTTCCTTGGGGGACTATCAATGTCTCCTCTTCAGGTTGGAATTAGCATTTTTATCTCTGCAACCGCCATCCCTCAACTATTTACAGAAGCCAACAGGGATAAAAAGGGACAACATAAAAATAGTTGCTCAGCAGCTTTCTGGGGGTGAGGAGGGTAGGGGCACAACAGATCTTCCCATTTTCTTTCCTCTGTCCTTTTCAAAACGGAAAAATGCTAGAATTGTTCATCTTTTCCAAACCGATCCTCAACAGTTCCAGGCTGCTCACTCAGGCACTCCTCAGGGACAAGGATCAAGTCCCAGCGTTCCTTGGTTCCCAGGACGGAGCTTGTCACCAGCCCCTCCCAAAAGTATGGGTTCAGTGAAACATCACCAGCACCCTGCTCTGCCCCATTTCTGCCCCAGGCCTCCTTCCAGCCTTCCAAAACCATGAGCCAGTCAACAATGCAATTTTTTTTCCCTCTATCCACTTTTTTTCCCCACTATCCTTAAAATGTTTCATAACTGAGGAGGAAAATTCAGCAGCAACACTACACACATGACTGAAACTGAAAACACTGGCAGCTAAAATAATTCCTTCCCCGTTTTGGTCACTAGCACCCCGCAGCAGGGAATGCCAGAGGTCTTTCCTGTGAAGTCAAACAGGGCTCCTTTTAAATATGCCCTTCTTTTTGGTTTTATCAAGGAAGGGATCCAATCAGGGAAGGAAGAAAACGTAACCATTCAAAATCTTTTTTTTTTTTTTTTTTGAGAGCACAACCATTTGGAAATCATTTCCACACCATAATCTCCTGGGGAAGCGGGCAGCATTTGGCAGCATAAGGAGACCAAGGGAGACACGAGTGCTCAGGATGAGAAGGTATGTCAGGAAACTCAGGGGGCTTCGGCCTTGATTTTCTCATCTGTAAAATGGAGCTGCAGCAACCTACCTAGAGGGTAGCTGTAGAGTCAATCTTCTAGAAAAGTGCCCAGCATACAACATGGCCCATAAGCAATGCTCTCTCTAAAAAGACTACGTTCTCCCTTCTTTGCACTCCACTTTTCCCAGCCATCATGTAGGAGGGGTTGAGGGGCTAGAATTCTCTGGGTTTCCTCCCAGCTCACTGATCATACCACTCCATTTCCATGTTCTTGGTGGGCTTTCCTGGCAAAGCCATCAGGACCTGAGCTGACTCCATGCCTGGCCACAGGGTGCCAGCACCATCTGTCTGTTGAGGCTTTCTCTACTTTGTGGATTTCCTTACCTGGAAAAGGATCTCACAAAATATATACCAATAAAATCACACAGAACCTGCATTTAACAAATCATGACTGAACTGAATGAAACTGAATAAAATCCAGGCTCTCCCTGAAAATCACACTGTGAGCTGACCTGGGAAGTGATGGGCTTAGACTGAAGCTAGGAGGGTGAAGTAAGAGAGTTTTGAAAAGTGAGGGAGTTTCCTTGTTCCAGGAAGCTGGTCTCCAGTTGATGTTGGAGAACTTTTCTTCCATCACTTTCTCCCTGCAAATAGAGTGACAAAGTAATGTCTTGTACCCAGAAGTTTATTAGTTGGGGGCTGCGGAGGCAAATGAAAGTACAAAGAAGTTTAAGAAGCTAAAGAAAGTACAAAGGCCTTAAGAAGCTCTTATGGGGCTTCCCTGGTGGTCCAGTGGATGGGAATCCACCTACCAATGATCCAGAAAGACTCTACATGCCACAGGGCAACTAAGCCACAACTACTGAGCGGGAGCTCTTGAGCCCATGCTCCATAATAAGAGAAGCCACCGCAATGAGAAGCCCACACACCCCAACTAGAGAGGTGCCCCTGCTCACCGCAACGAGAGAAAGCCCAAGTGCAGCAATAAGGACCCAGCACAGCCAAAAATAAGTAAATTAATTAATTAAAATTTTAAAAAGAAGAAGCTCTTATGGCAGAAACAATACAAGTGTCAGTCAACAGATGAATGAATAAACAAAATATGGTGTATCCATACACAGATTATTTAGTCATAGAAAGAAAGCACTGATATATTCTACAACAAGGGTCAACCTTGAAAACATTATGTTCCATGAAAGCCAGACACAATAGGTCCTATATTCCTAACAGGTCAGTATATAACAAGCACAGCCTGAAGGGAGAAAAGTCAGTTCCAAAAGGGAAATGGCGATTTCCTCAGCTTTCCAGTTAAGAAGGCACAGAAGTGAGGCCAAAGGCCGCTGCAGCTCCATGGAGCCAGTGAAGCCCACATCTAGGTTATCTGGCCCAGTCCAAAGGGGAGGAGCTACCGGGAAAGCAAAACATCTGTGCAAAATAGCAAAACAAGGCCCTCTGACCCAAAGGAAAATCTGAAATAGCATTTGCCCGAAATCCCCGACATCAGGAAATGAGAACCATATGCTTCCCACAACCACCATGATCCTGAATGAGCTACTCAGCCTCTCCAAGCCCATCCATGAAATGGGTTCATGATGCGGTCAGGGCGATTCTGTGGCCCACGTTAAAATCTCAGCCCAAAAGCCTTGAAAACAGGCTTGGCCTGCCCCACACATCCACCCCTTCCTCCTGAGAGGCACTTCTCCACCAACCAGCCCATCTGGGATACAGTTCTCAAGAAGGGGATTCCAGGTTACTCCAGAAAGCTTCCTCTGCTAGGTCATCCCATCCTATTCCCCTCCCCTCCTCCTATCCAATCTCCACTTTTCAGCCCATCCTTCAAAATTCAGCACAAATGACACCTCCTTCAGGAAGCCTCCAGTATTCACACCAGCCAGAAGGGATTTCTCCAGAACCCCCACGGCCCTCTGTTTCCTCATTCCCACAGCACTTATTCCTCCTGGTATTTCTCAGCAGGAGCACTCTTAGCCATTTAGGGCAGGGCAATTCTTCATGCCTGCTGTGAATCTGGCCTGCCTGCAGGATATTTGGCACCCCCAGCTTCTGCCTATCAGAAGTCAGGAGTGCTCAGCTTCATTTTGACAACCAAAAGTCACCCCCACACTTCTCCAAATGCTCACCAGGAAGGTGGAAACAGCCCTGATGAGAACTACTGCATAGTTATTAGTGAATATACTTGTCTACCAGCCCACTAACAACCTGGAAACAAACACAAGCCCAAGTCAATCAGCATCACTACCGTGGCACCTCGGGCTGTTTTAGCAAACATTTCTGGGCTCCTCAAGAAGCCTAGGGCAGCCTTGAAGAGGCCTCTGTTCCAGAACAGGTGGTAAAGTGCACAGGCTTTAGGACCACAACCTGAGTTGGCTGTGTGACCCTGGGCAAGTTACTTAGCCTCCCTGAGCCTCTCTATAAAATGGGCTAACTCCTAGCAAAGTGCAGGATTGTTTTTAGCCTCAGTTTCCTCATCTCTACTACAATGGAGATAAAAATCCCCTTACAAGATTTGGGTAGGCAATAAATGGGGTAATGCCTGCAACACACAGTATAGTATTTAACACATGCTCTCAGTCAGTCAGTCATGTCTGACTCTTTGTGACCCCATGGACTGTAGCCCATGGAATTTTCCAGGCAAGAATACTGGAGCGGGTTGCCATTTCCTCCTCCAGGGGATTCTCCCAACTCAGGGATCGAACCTGCTTTGGCAGGCAGATTATTTACTACTGAGCCATCTGAGAAGCCCATCTAACACACAGTAAGAACTCCATAAATGCTGGTTATGAACATTATTGTTATTATCCAAGTTAGGGGCCCATCAAATGATGGGCATTACTTTTTATCACAAAAACAGGCTATGCGCTCTCCCTACAAAAGGCTGTTCTCTATACAGGAAGGGTTTAGGACCCGCGGTCCGGAAAGAAGTTCTAGGACCCACCACGAAGCTGCACTTTGCATAGCATGCACAGTTTGTTCTTAAGTTGAATGTTTTTGTGAGACGCTTTGGGGTCGCGGGGGTGTAACTCCCGCAAAGCCCTCCCAGTGTTGCTGCCCCGGCCTCCCCCTAGGAACAAGGCAGTCTATGGGGCCGCAGCTATCTACTTCTCTCTCCCTTGGGGGAGAGCCACGGGAGGGGGGTGGTAAATGACAGCAAAGCTCTAACGCACAGAAGTTTCTGTCTCTAGGACTGTGGGAACTTCCTGACTGAGGAAGGTAAAAGTTGCCCCTAAGGAGGAGGGCACTGCACGACCCACCCCGGGCCAGCGTGCCCCTCTTACTGCGGGCACCGAGATCCCCGGCCCCGCAAGCATCATCCCTCTGCCCCAACCTTAGCAAGGAGATAGGAGGGGCTTCGGCGCCACCGCTTCAGCGCCAAGTGAGAGCAGCAGGGCCGCTGGCAGAACTGTGAAAACACCCCGCTTCCCAAACTGGGCAGTGCAGGGGGTGGGGAAGCCAGGAAAAGCGCAAGGCTGGAACCGGGCGCGGGCGGGGGAGCGGGCAGCCCAGGCACCGAGGCCAAAGCTGAGCGGGGGCCGGACCCAGCATCCCCGCGTCCGCAAGAGTCAGGTGGAGGGTACCGGCGAAGGCACCTCCCCGCGTTCACAGTATGCAGCGGCCCCGAGGTGAATTTAGGTCAAAACAGACCAAGCCTGTGTGTTCCGGCTGAGAGAAGGGGGCGGGGGCAGAGAGGGCCGACAGAGGAGAGGCTGAGGGGCCCCCGGTCCCACAGCAGCCGGTCCAGGGTCCTGCCGCCAGGTGTCCAACCCACCACGGCGCCGGTGTGCACCCCCCCGAGACAAGAGGGGAGCGGGGATGGGCCGCTCAAAGTCTGTCCGCCCTCTGCTCGCCTGCGCGCCCCGGCTTTCGCCACCTGTCAAACGCGAGGGGGTGGGCCTAGGCCGCCTCCGAGATCCCGAACTGCCCCGACCGCCGGTGACAACGGTTCCAAACTCCGGGACCGCCTCTGCCACCCCGGGCCGGGCGCGGCCCAGCCGAGGCGGCCACCTCCAGGCCCCCTGCGCCCCGAAGACGCGGGGGAAGGGGCGCCGGGGGCCGCGTCCCCACGTGGCGGGGCGTGGGGCGGCGCACGTGGGGTCCCCTCGGCGTCGGGAACCCGGGGTCGGCCTCAGGGCTTTGTCTGCAATCCCGGCCGTGGTCCCGCACCCTGAGAGGGCGACGGCGCCCGCCGGGGCTGCGGCGGCCGCGTCCCCCGCCAGCGGCCCAGCTCCCGCCAGCTCACCTGGGCTCCACGCCGCCGCCGCCACCGCCTCCCGCGCTCTGCGTCCCCGGCTCGGCTCCGCTCTGCTCGGCGCGGCCGCGCGCTCCTCTCCGCGGCCCCGACGGGCGCGCGAGGGGCGGGAAGGGAGGAGCCGGCGGGTCCCGGCTCGGGCGCGACGCGGCCGCGGGCTGCGCGGAGATTGGCTGCGGCCTCTGGAAACCCCGGCGCGGAGCCACCCGCGCCCGCCGCGCGCCCCCGAGGGCTCGGCCGCGCGCCGAGGAGAGGAGGGAGGCGGGAGCCTGAGGAGGCGAAAGTAGCGGCGAGGCTGAGGGCAGGGAGAAGATAGGGGAGGAGGCGGAGGAGAGGAAGGTGAGGCAGGGCCTGGAGCGGGGTCGGGAGAGGCTGCGGACCCGTGAGGAGGGAAGAGATCTGCCGGAGCGCGGGAGGCGGCGCTGCAACTTTGCCTCCGCCCGCGGCGTCACCTGCCCGGCTTCTCCTCGCCGCGGCCGCGGCACTTCGCGCAGGCCGGACTTGCCGGCTGCGCTCGCTTCATTTAGTCAAACGCGGGGACTGCGGGGCGGCGGCTGAGCCACGGAAACTTCCCCAAGCCTGCGAGTCACCCGCGGCCCCGCCTGGAGGCTCCGCTCACGTGCCCGGCTGCTACCCCTGCCCCAGGCGCCCGGCGGTGGATGCGGCCTGGATTTCGGGTCACCACTCGTTCGGGGGACCCCCTTCCGCCCCCGCCTCCCCAGAGACCGCTGCTTGGGGCCCGCCCTAAAGACTGGTGACTGTGTTCCTTTCCCACCTCCACTCCACCTGGATGTACCGAATTACAGGAAAACCAATGAAGTTCTGGCTTTCCCAAAGACTACTTGAGATGCTTTTTGTGACATACATCATATTCTTCCCAAACATTTTACCCCTTTGGCGCCTGACTTCGCTGGAACCCTTGGAGAGTGTTTAGTCTCCCAGCTGGGTGACAGCGCTCCGGGGAGGGGCTTAAGACCTCACAAGGGCTGCCTGACGCCGCCTGTCCTTGGATGGTTGCAAAACTCAGTCCTGACTCAAGGTCCAAATTAAAGGTTCGATGTCCCTTTCAGTTTAGTTCCTCTGGCATTTTCACGCAGCAGAAGCGCTCACAAGCAATTCAGAGCGTTCCACTAAGATGACCGCCCGTTCTGGTGTTATTCAACATGCCAGTGTTCGTTGGTAAGGATAAAAACCTGGGAACAATTGTCCTAAATGTTTATCGGGAGAATGGATCAATGAAACGTGTTATAGCCACTTGATGGGATATGATGCAATAGTTCAACTGAATGCCTCATGTCTATTTGCACAGACAGGGGGAGAGCTCAGAACAAAATGCTGAGTAAAAGAGCAGGTTGCAGGACACAGTCTTTGTTGTTCACAGACACATTCCCTACATACAAGTGGTTTTTTCGTTGTTTTATTTTTTCATACAAGTGTTTTAAAAGGCAAACAGGAGGGGACATATGTATATCCGTGGCCGATTCATGTTGATATATGACAAAAACCCTCACAATTTTGTAAAGTAATTATCCTCCAATTAAATTAATGAATAAAAGCAAAAAAAAAAAGGCAAAGGGGATGCTTGCAAATGACAGTTTGCCACTAAGATAAGGAGGCAAGGATAGAGAATAGACATGGGAAGCATAAAGAATGTTGTAAAGTGTCATGTGAAAGTGAAAGTCACTCAGTCCTGTCTGACTTTGCGACCCAGGCCAGAATACTGAAGTGGGTAGCTATTCCCTTCTCCAGGGGATCTTTCCAACCCAGGGTTCCAACCCAGGTCTTCTGCATTGCAGGCGGATTCTTCACCAGCTGAGTCACCAGGGAAGCCCAAGAATCCTGGAGTGGGTAGCCTATCCCTTCTCCAGCAGATCTTCCCAACCCAGATATCAAACCCAGGTCTCCTGCATTGCAGGCGGATTCTTTACCAGCTGAGCTACCAGGGAAGCCCTTGTAAGGTGTCATGCCTTTTACTTACAAATGAATTTGAAGCATATGGCAAAATTAATTAACAGTCAATTCTGAATGGTAGATGCATGGTTCTGTATTTTTCTGTATTTGTCTCAAAAAAATATATTTCTTGGGGTTTATGAGGAGCATTCTGAACATGTCTGACTCTATGGCAGGGGTCAGCAAACTTTTTCTGTAAAGGACCAGGTAGTAAATATTTTAGGCTTTGCAGGCTCTATGGTCTCTTTTGTAACTACTCAACTCTAACATTCTGGCAGCCATAGACAAAAGTAAGTGAATGGGCATGGCTGTGTTTGAATAAAACTTTATTTATGAACACTGAAAGTTGAACTTCATTTAATTCTCAATGTCACAAAATATTATTGTTTTGATTTTTCTTCAACTATTTAAAAATGTATAAACCATTGTTAGCTAGAGGGGCATATAAAAATAGGTGGCATGACAGATTCAGCCCCTGGGCAATAGTCTAGCAACTCCTGCTTTGAAGAAACCAAAATAAATATTGATCTTTCCCTGTTGCTTGTTAAAATATGCAATTCTGTGTTTACATTGTGTTACTCAAGTGTCTGTATTTTAGTAAAACACTTGAGCTAATACAGGCAAACACAGGTATATCTGTGTGTGTGGTAGTCGCTCAGTCGTGTCTGACTCTTTGCAACCCCATGGACTGTAGCCCACCAGGCTCCTCGGCCCATGGAAATTCTCCAGGCAAGAATGCTGGAGTGGGTTGCCATGCCCTCCTGCAGGGAATCTTCCCAACCCAGGCATCGAACCCAGTTCTCTCACATTGCAGGCGGATTCTTTACTGTTGAGCCACCAGGGACAGCTATGTAAAGTAAGAAGCTAGTTATGTGAGAAACATATGTCCATTCAAATCTAAATTCAAACCAAAGACCCACTTCTGTCTGGAAGAATTTCCTGAAATACTATGACCCAGGCCCTCCTTGACTTCTCCCCTTTCTTAGCTCCTACAGCAAGGACTGGCCCACTTACTTGCTGCTCAGCAACTGTGCCTTCTTTTTCTTTTATATGTTTATTTAGTTATTTGGCTGCACCAGGTCTGATTTGCAGCACTTGGCATCTTTAGTTGTGGCATGTGAGATCTAGTTCCCTGACAAGGGATTGAACTCAGGCCCCCTGCATTGGGAGCACAGAGTCTTAGCCACTGAACCACCAGGGAAGTTCCCACTGTGTCTTCTTTAGTCTTTTCACTCCTGCCTTCTGACTTGCCAATAGAGCCATACATTCCTGGAGTACAGGTAGATACCACAATGAAACATTTGCTTACTGTGAACATTGTGGTTGAAAGCAGTGACTTTGGAGTCAGTCAGACCTAGCTGAAATCAAAGCTTCACTAGTTACCAGCTCTCTGATGCAAAGAACTGATTCATTTGAAAAGACCCTGATGCTGGGAAAAATTGAAGGCTGGAGGAGAAGGGGACGACAGAGGATGAGATGGTTGGATGGCATCACCGACTCAATGGACATGAGTTTGAGTAAACTCCGGGATTTTGTGATGGACAGGGAGGCCTGGTGTGCTGCAGTCCATGGGGTCCCAAAGAATCAGACATGACTGAGTGACTGAACTGAACTGAGCCTTGGATGTGTGACTTTGGGTTCATCAGCTGTCAAATGGGGATAATAAACCTAACTCAGAGGCTTGGCTTGAGGTTTAGATACAATATTGTGTGTAGGGTCCATTGATAGATAAATGGATAAAGATGTATAATATTTAAACACAATAGAATATTACTTAACCATAAAATGAATGAAATCTTGCCATTTGCAACAACGTGGCTGGAAGATACTAGGAGGGTGTTATGTTAAGCGAAATAAATCAGAAAGTGAAAGACACTATATGATTTCACTCATATACGAAATCTAAAAAACAGGAAAACAAATAAAACAAAGCGAAACTCGTAGACAGAGAACACACTGGTGGTTACCCAAGGGGAAGAGGGTTGGGGATGGGCGAAATGAGTAAAAGGAATCACATGTATGCTGATGGCTAGACTTTTGGTGATGATTACTGTGGAATGCACACAGACGTCAAATCATAATGTTGTACACCTGAAACATAATGTTACATAACTATTTTACCTCAAAAATAAGATAATAACTCAGTGCCTGGCACTAAAGTGCTCAAAGGTACTATTAGTATACTTAGCACAGAGCTAAAAACCCCATCAGTGAGGTACAATGCTTATTAAAGTGAATTAGAACAGAGCTGAGCAAACACAATTGACTTTCACTAACATTCAGCCGCTCTTATGATAGGAGTCATCCCACTCAAGGGAACAGTTTTCTTCTTAAAAGATATGAAATTAAGAATTGGCTTTGCTTTTTGAGTTTTCTTCTCCAAGAACACCAGAGAAACCTATTCTAGGCAAACAGCTCTTGTTGTCTTGACAACACAGATTGCCAAGAAAATAAGTAAACAAAGCATCTGAATCTTATTTTTAAGAAAACTTGGACAGTACAGGGAGGGGATGAAAAGCAAGACTTTAAAATTATCTCGCCCACTAGGAAGGCATCAAACTCCTGCCAAGACTTTGTCTTTTCCTTTCTAAACTGTTCTGTGTTCTACTCATGTTATCCACTGGAATGTTCCACCTCCCAAACCTTGAACATCAGATAGAGACAGCAGAATTAATCGCACCAATGTACCTTATTTGTTGAATTCTCTCCCATTCAATAAGACAGTAGAAAAATGCTGAGATTAAAAAAAAAAAAGACACTGGCAGTGGGTGCTGGGCGGGGGGGGGTGGGGGGGGGCCACCTGGTGGTCCAGTGGTTAAAATGCCAAGCTTCCAATGCAGAAAGTGTAGGTTCGATCCCTGGTGTGGGAATTAAGATCCCACATCCCACATGTATGACAGAAAAACAGAGGAAGGAAGGAAAGAAAAAAAGAGGACCCTGAGAAGTTTCTTCGTTTTCTTCAACAGGCATGAGATTAATATGTGTGTTAGTCCCAAACATAAACAACGGTATAAAAGGGGAAGTCATCAGCAGGAGCATAGATGAAGTTCATTTGCCTTCTATGTATTTTGAGAAAGAAGATAATTAGCCTGACCATCCAAAAATGACAAAACATAAAACACTGAACAAGTAGTATTATTCGAGGTACCCAGATGAGCACAGGCCCCCCCAGGTGGCGCTGGTGATAAAGAACCTAACTGCCAGTGCAGGAGACTTAAGAGATGCAGGTTTGATCCCTGGATCAGGAAGATCCCCTGGAGAAGGGCGTGGCAACTCACTCCAGTATCCTTGCCTGGAAAATCCCATGGACAAAGGAGCCTGGCCAGCTGCAGTCGAG